ACAGTCCTGCCGCTGTCCGTCACTAGGAACTGGTCTGCTTTGTCACTCTGCTCTACACCGAGGAATCCCTCAGGCCCGGCGCCCAAGACTCCCGTAGACAACGTGAATTCTTCCTCCAGGGCTGCCATTTTGGGCTGGCCCGCAGCCAGCGCATCCCTCCCAGCAGGCTTTGCGCTTCCTTCTCGCGAGAGCACAATGCGCAAAAGGGGTGGGTTTTCGCCGGGGGAGAAAAACCCGCTCGAGCAGAACGGCGACCCCTGGCGGGCGGAAAGGGAGCAGCCGAACGCCGCCCGGTGGGTGGAGCCTGGACCTCGTGCGAAAGCTCCGCCCTCAAGGCCGGGCCTCCCGGAGTCCCGGATCAGCTGCATAAGCCGGAAATCTTTGCTTCTGCTTCCTTGCCCTCCTGTTTGCCGGTCAGCTGATGGAAGCTGAAGGATGAGTTTTAGAAAGTGGCCAGGTAGTATCAATAAACAGATGTTTAACATATGCTAAGTGAACTCTAGGAAGTCCTACCACAACATGCCAGAGGGGAAAAATATTTAACTCGCAGACGACTCTGTTATTTTGGAATCGGTAGGGAAGTTTCTTCCAGATTACCACAATTTCCAATTCCTTTGATTAAAAAAAGAAATTTAGCCAGGTGTGGTGGCACACGCCTTTGATTCCAGAACTCCGGAGACTGAGGCAGGGGCAATCTCTGTAAATTTGAGGTCAGCTTAGTCTAGGTAGAATTCCAGGACAGCCATAGCTTCATAGAGAGACTGTCTTAACAAAACAAAACAAAATGAAATCTAGCAGGGTATGCCTAGCCCTTGGGAAGCTGAAGCCGAATAACTAACAGCTTGGAGGCCAGCTGTCACAAAGTGAAATCGGAAGTGCTCTGTGCTAACTAACTCTGACCAGGCTTCCTTTGACCTCAGCATGGGTGAAGAATCACAAAAGTTTCTCCCTGCCTCTCTGACAGGCAGCTCGGCGGATCAGTTTGCTTCTTGTGTAACCCTGGGCATGGGGCTTGTGAATCTTACAGGTTTCAGCTTGCTTAGACTTCTAAGTTTTGTTTACTTCCTGCGTTCCTGGAGCATCCTGCATCCTCCCTCCCCTTTAGGGCATATTCAGAGGTGCTATTTCGGATAGAGCAAATCGTTAACAATGTATGCATATGTACATACACGTATATACATACATAATACACTGTTTCTGTTTTGTTTTGTTTGAAATAGGGTGTTCTGTAGCTCAGGCTGGCCTGGAGCTTACCTAGTAGTCTGTATCATTAGGCCCTTGGTTTTTGGTTTTGTTTTGTTTTTTGTTTTAGTTTTTACACCAAATCTTGCTACATAACCAAGATGGTCTAGAGCTCCTTATGTAGTCCCAGGCTAGTCATCTCCCTGACTCATTCTCCCAGGTGCTGGGATAAGAGTTGTGTGCCTTTGTGCCTTCACACTTGCCTTGAGGAAATATTTTATTTCTTTTTAAAAGTTGCAGTTTTTCCTGGGTGGTGGTGGCATATGCCTTTAATCCCAGCATTTGGAAAGCAGGCAGAGGCAGGTAGATCTCTGTGAATCTGGTTTACTGAGTGAGTTCCTCGACAGCCAGGGCTACAAGGAGCTCTCAAAAAAAAAAAAAAAATCGTTAAAAAAGAAAGTATTTTTTACTTGGTGTGTGTGGATGTTTTGCCTGCATGTATGCCTTTCCCCCAAGTAAGTGTTTGGTACTCTCAGAGGCCAGAAGAGCAGCATGTCAGATCCCCTAGAACTGGAGATGGCTGTTAGCCACCATGGGGTGTTGGGAATTGAGCCAGGGTCTTCTGCAAGAGCAACAAGCACTCTTAGCTGCTGAGTCAGCTCTCCAGTCCCATTAAAGAATATTTATATAGGAACCATTGTGCCAAGGGTACAGATGCTGCTGACTTTATCACTTGAAACATGGTGGTTCTTAAACAAAGGTGTAAGATGCCTGAGGTGTGCTTTTTAGCTTTGACATCTCACCACACTGTGAAAGCAAATGTTCAGACCACAGCAAGGAATGGAATACTATCAGAATTCAGGCAAGCATCTCTGAAGATAATTTCTATGCAGGAAGAATTGGAGAAGCCGGTGGTGGTGGCACACGCCTTTAATCCCAGCACTTGGGAGGCAGAGGCAGGCGCATCTCTGTGAGTTCGAGGCCAGCCTGGGCTACAGAGTGAGTTCTAGGAAAGGCGCAAAGCTATACAGAGAAACCCTGTCTCGAAAAACCAAAAAAAAAAAAAAAAAAAGAATCAGAGAGAGGAAAAGAATCTAAGATCTTACATCATACTATGGGATGTGCCTTTTGCTAATGCTAAGGTCCTACTAAAGATGCCAAAACCCCATGGCTGTATCTAGAAATTTTTTATATGATAAACTGTGGTGGTTTGAAAGAAAATGACCCCCAAAGGGAGTGGCACTGTTGGGAGGTGTGGGCCTTGTTGGAAGAAGTTTATCACTGTGGGGGTGGGCTTTGAGGTCTCTTTTGCTCAAGCTTCCCTCAGTGTGACTATCAGTTGACTTCCTGTTGCCTGTAAGATGTAGCACTCTCTGCTCCAGTACCACATCTGCCTTCACGCCTCCATGCTCCCTGTCATGACAATAATGGACTGAACCTCTGAAACTGTAAGTGTGCCACCCCTATAAAATGTTTCCTTTGTACGAGTTGCTGTTGTCATGGTGTCTCTTCACAGCAACAATAAACCCCAGCTAAGACATAAACATAACATGACATATAGCATTTTAATCATTTTTTGATGTGCAGTTCTGTGGCATGCACTACATTTACATATTTTTGTAGCCATCATCTAGTTCCATTACGTGTTTGTCTTCTCAAACATGGTAAGCCCTCACTTCTCTTCCTCCTCTCTTAGCCCCTGAAACCCCCCCCCCACACACACACACACTACTTCCTGTCTCTGTGACTTCCAATCCTGTAAATCCTTCCCGTTTAGTAGAATTGCATCTTTGTCCTTTTGTGTTTGGCTTTTTGCACCATATTATATCTTCAATCCATGTAGCCCAAGTTGGATTTTCCTCCTCTTCCTTCTCTTGTTTTACTATATTTATCTATTTATTTTGTGTGTGCGTATGTGTATGGGCATGCTTGTGCCATGGTGTGTGTATGGATGGAGTCCAGAGGGTAACTTGTGGAAGTCAGTTCTCTCCTTCCACCCTGTGGGTTCAAGGGATCAAACTCAGGTTGTCCGTCTTGGTGGTAAGCTCCTTTACCTGTCTAGCTATTTTGCTGGTCCCAAACCCCTTCTTTCACTTGGACCCTGGGAACTGCTTTCTGGGCTCCCTGCTTCTTTGTGCACTCTTGGGCAACCCTGTAGCCAGTAGGATCTTTGCAGAATTCTAATCAGATTGTGTGTCGATCTCTAGTCAGATTCTGAACTCCCTGCTTATGACTCTTTAATACCTTGTTGTTAGGATGAGCACAATCAAATCCTTATCTTGACCTATAAGAAGGGTTGCAAAATAAATATAAGCTATCCACTTACATTTGGATTTCAGATGATGAATAATTTTTTTAACTTATAAACACATCCTATGTAATCTTTCACCGTGTGTCTTGAATTAAAGTGGCCTTATTATGCTGTAGTTTTATTTGCTAAGTCCCAAGAGCTCAGCAGAGATTCAGCCTCTCGCACTCGTCCTCAGCTCATCTCTCATCGTGTGTTCTCTGGTCTGCCAAACTGTTACCAACAGCTGGCTCGGGTCCTTTTGTTCACCTGCATAGGAATCGTGGGCAGACAAGGAAAAGCTCCTCCACAGCTGGCAGCCCTGGACCTTGAGTGGCCATAGTGTGGGGGCTAGACTGGCAGACCCAAGACTTAGGCTCCAGGCCTTGAGAGCTGGAAGTCTACTGCTTCCTCTAGTCAGATTTTTTCTTTGAGCTGCCAGCTCACAAATAATGCCATGGAGACTTATTGTTAATCCTGAAAGCACGGCCCTAGCCGAGGCTTACACTCAACAGCTCTTACAACTGCAATTAACCCACTTCTATCAATTTGTGTTCTGCCACATGGCTCTACCTTTCTTCCACCCCACACCTCCTGTTTCCTCCGTGTCTCTCTGGCAAATCTGTGCATCTATATTCCTTCTCCTAGTCTCTCTCTCTACCCAGAAGTCCCGCCTATTCTTTCCTGCCTAGCTATTGGCCATTTAGCTCTTTGTTAAACCAATCAGAAGGTGCCTTAGGCAGAAACACATTTTTACAGTGTAAACAAATATTCTGCAACATTTCCCCTTTTCGTCTAATTCAAAAGGAAAGGTTTTAACTCTGAACATAGTAAAACTGTTTACAATAAGAACAATTATCAGCCAGGCGGTGGTGGCGCACGCCTTTAATCCCAGCACTCGGGAGGCAGAGCCAGGCGGATCTCTGTGAGTTCGAGGCCAGTCTGGACTACCAAGTGAGTCCCAGGAAAGGCGCAAAGCTACACAGAGAAACCCTGTCTCGAAAAACCAAAAAAAAAAAAAAAAAAAAAAAATTAGGTATTGTCTAAATAAAAAGGAGATATTTCAACTCTAACATAGTAAAACTATATATAAGAACAATTTCCAGGTAAGAATTACATTTACAATATCTAGTTCATTTGTATTTGGCAAATTTGGAGAAATTATTCTATTATCTATTCTATCTTGATGAGTCCAAAGTTTTATACCTAAATGACTTTCTATCATAACTTGTATTACCATCCTAAAATAATCTTTTTAGACTTTAAAACATTTTCTTAGATAAACAACCTAAACTTTTATGTCTCTCAACCTTATATACTTTATACCTCTTTTGTGAGTTTTTTTTTCTGAATTTGGTAACAAGAAAAACTGCAACTATAACTAGTCTTCAACCTCATCAAAGAAAGACTCAAGAAGGATATAATATTGTCTCAATTAACAGGAAATGCAGGGCAAGCAACATTCAAAATATAGAAATGACAGAAATAGCTGGCTGCCTGGACAGTCACCTGCTGTGGATATCGCTCTGTATAAATAAACACTGATTGGCTGGTAGCCAGATAGGAAGTATAGGCGGGATTAACAGGAGGATTGAGGGAACAGGAAGGCAGAGAGAGAGAGACTGCCTGGAGCCGCCACCAGGACAAGGAAGATGTAAGGTACCAGTAAGCCACGAGCCATGTGGCAAAGTAGATTAATAGAAATGG